GGGATTACGGGAGCCTGCCACCACACCCAGCTGGTTTTTTGGTATTTTTAGCAAAGACAGGGTTTCACCATGTTGGCCAGGCTGGTCTCGAACTCCTGACCTCTGGTGATCTGCCTGCCTCAGCCTCCCAAAGTACTGGAATTATAGGCATGAGCCACCATGCCCAGCCGGCAGCCTATTCAAATGTCATCCTCAACATAGTCAATCCTTGGGCCATATTTTTCTTATAGTAAAATTTTGTCTCTTTCTTTTAATGCAGTTTCTACATGGAATTTGGACACTTTGGCCTTCCAGGAACTGAAGTCCGAGCTAACTGAAGTTCCTGCTTCCCGAATTTTGAAGGAGAGCCCATCTGGCCATCTCCGGAGTAGAGAGGGAGACAACGGTATGAAGTTAAGGTTTCTTCCCTTTTGTGCCCACATGGTCTTTATTCATGTCTAGTGCTGTGTTTCAGAGAATCAGTATAGGGTAAATGCCCACCCAAAGGGGAAACTAACTTCCCTGGGAGCAGAGGGAGGGGAGGAGAAGAACAGAACTCTCTCGCGCTCTGTTCCCTTGTCAGAGCAGGTCTGCAGGAGCCAGCCTTTCCCTAACAAAGCCCTCTATCCAATCACCCACACTTGGGAGGCTGGGCTGGGCTGCACAGGGCAAGATGAGAGATGTGTTGATTTCATCCCCTTGATTGTCATGTAGAATTAAGTATACTTGAGAAGTTACATTTTTCAGTAGCGCCTTCATATCTTTATTTTAGGGACAGGTGTACACCAAGCACCATCTCAGCCACAATCTGTTACTAACAGTATGTTTTCTGAACTTTGGCCACTTAGGAAGGGTACAGTTTGGCTCTCTTCAAAGTGTTCCCTGAAAGTCCAACTTTATGACTAATACTGTGATTTCCAGAAACTTTGACTATCCATGTTGACAATGATTACTGGCACTGAAGGGCATGCACGCAAAGAGTGGTTATAAAATATTTAAAACACGGTTCTCTAAGATATGAGCAGCAAAGTGTTTCTACCTTCTATGAGGAAACCGAAGGTGCCCATTAAAAGTAGAGAAATCTGGGCCAGGCGCGGTGGCTCACTCCTGTTATCCCAGTGCTTTGGGAGGCTGAGGCTGGCGGATCACTTGAGGTCAGGAGTTCAAGACCAGCCTGGCCAACATGGTGAAACACTGTCTCTACTAAAAATACAAAAATTAGCCAGGCATGGTGGCACGCATCTGTAATCCCAGCTACTTGGGAGGCTGAGGCCGGAGAATTGCTTGAACCCAGGAGACAGAGGTTGCAGTGAGCCAATATCACGCCACTACCCTCCAGCCTGGGTGACAGAGTGAGACTCCGTCTCAAAAAAAAAAAAAAAAAAAAAAAAAAATTACAGACATCCGTTGTGATTCTGGTAACTCTAAATTTTCAACAGTCTCTTCACTACATTTAAAAAATTATTTTCTAAACCAAATTAGCCAGGAGTGGTAGCAGGCACCTGTAGTCCCAGCAACTCAGGAGGCTGAGATGGGAGGACTGCTTGAACCTGGGAGGTCGAGGCTGCAGTGCGCTGTGATTGCACCACTGCACTCCAGCCTAGGTAACAGTGCAAGACCCTGTCTCAAAATATAATTATTTTCATGTTTATTATATTAAAATGATGTATGAAATATATGACTCATCAGATCGGGCTCGAAAAACTTTGTTGTATGGAGATTATTCTTATGAGTTGATTTTTCTCTCTCCTATCTTATAGTAATGAAACAAACCAGGCATGAAAGTCACAATAAGTAATACAATGAATACCCATGAGTCCCTGCTCAGCTTAAGTAGAATATTACAAATGCAGTTGAAGCCCTCCGTGCAACTTTCATCCTTACAACTGATACTGAGTGAATTGTACTTTAAATATTTGTAGCTCCCACTCCCATGCATGCCCCTCAGTGGTAGCAATAATTGTCAATAACATGAAACACAGATTGATCACATAGCATTTACCACATATTTACTCTATACCAAGCACTTAACATATATAATTACATTCAAAATTTACAACAGCCCTACTACCCAAAAGACTATTAGTATCCCCTTTTACAAATGCGATAACTGAGGCATAGAGAGCTAAGTAACTTACTGAAAGTCACACAGCCAGTGGGTGGCAGAGCCTGGCTTTAAATCCAGACGATTTGTCCCTAGGGCTCTCACATCTACTGGCTCTGCCAAGCTTCCGCATGATCACTGTCTGTGTTTGGAAAGATTATGGATTAAGTGGTGCTTCGTTTTCTTTTCTGAATTCACCAGGATGTGGAGAACTAGTTTGGGTAGGAGAGCCTGTCACGCTGAGAACAGCAGAAACAATTACTGGCAAGTACGGTGTGTGGATGCGAGACCCCAAGCCCACCTACCCCTACACCCAGGAGACCACATGGAGAATCGACACAGTTGGCACAGATGTCCGCCAGGTTTTTGAGTATGACCTCATCAGCCAGTTTATGCAGGGCTACCCTTCTAAGGTTCACATACTGCCCAGGCCACTGGAAAGCACCGGTGCTGTGGTGTACTCGGGGAGCCTCTATTTCCAGGGCGCTGAGTCCAGAACTGTCATAAGATATGAGCTGAATACCGAGACAGTGAAGGCTGAGAAGGAAATCCCTGGAGCCGGCTACCACGGACAGTTCCCGTATTCTTGGGGTGGCTACACAGACATTGACTTGGCTGTGGATGAATCAGGCCTCTGGGTCATTTACAGTACTGATGAGGCCAAAGGTGCCATTGTCCTCTCCAAACTGAACCCAGAGAATCTGGAACTTGAACAAACCTGGGAGACGAACATCCGTAAGCAGTCAGTCGCCAATGCCTTCATCATCTGTGGCACCTTGTACACCGTTAGCAGCTACTCCTCAGCAGATGCAACCGTCAACTTTGCTTATGACACAGGCACAGGTATCAGCAAGACCCTGACCATCCCATTCAAGAACCGCTACAAGTACAGCAGCATGATTGACTACAACCCCCTGGAGAAGAAACTCTTTGCCTGGGACAACTTGAACATGGTCACTTATGACATCAAGCTCTCCAAGATGTGAAAAGCCTTCAAGCTGTACCAGCAATGGCAGAAGGAGATGCTCAGGGCTCCTGAGGGGAGCAGGCTGAAGGGAGAGCCAGCCAGCCAGGGCCCAGGCAGCTCTGACTGCTTTCCAGGTTTTCATTAATCCACAAGGATGAACATGGTCACCATCTGACTATGCAGGAATTGTAGTCTGAGGGCATAGACAATTTCATATGAGAATAAATATCCTTTTCTTCTGTCAGCATTTATGGGATGTTTAATGACATAGTTCAAGTTTTCTTGTGATTTGGGGCAAAAGCTATAAGGTATAGTAGTTTCTTCCTGAAAACCATTGCTCTTGCATGTTACATGGTTACCACAAGCCACAATGAAAAGCATAACTTCTAAAGGAAGCGGAATAGCTCCTCTGGCCAGCATCGAACATAAGTAAGATGCATTTACTACAATTGGCTTCTAATGCTTCAGATAGAATACAGTTGGATCTCACATAACCCTTCGCATTGTGAAATAAAATTTTCTTACCCAACATTCTCTGCCTTGAACTTTGTGGGAATCTTTGCTTAAGAGAAGGGTACAGATTCCAACCATCAAGTCATTCCTTCAGGTTGGGAGACGTGATTGTAGGATGTGTGTGTGTGTAACTGAGAGGCTTGTGCCTGGTTTTGAGGTGTTGTGCAGAATGACACCAAGCAAATAGCAGCAATCACACCTTCCCACCTACATCTCCTGGTGCTCTCGGTACTACCTGAGCAATCTTTCAATCTCTCCCCTGAACCCACCCTCTATTCTCCCTAACTCCACTTCAGTTTGGTTTGTTGTTGTTGTTGTTGTTGTTTTGAGACGGAGTCTCGCTCTGTTGCCCAGGCTGGAGTGCAGTGGCGCGATCTCAGCTCACTGCAACTCCACCTCCCGGGTTCACGCCATTCTCCTGCCTCAGCCTCCCGAGGAGCTGGGACTACAGGTGCCCGCCACCACACCCGGCTTATTTTTTTTTTTTTTTAATTTTTTTTTTTTAGTAGAGATGAGGTTTCACCATATTAGCCAGGATGGTCTTGATCTCCTGACCTTGTGATCCGCCCGCCTCTGCCTCCCAAAGTGCTGGGATTACAGGTGTGAGCCACCACGCCTGGCCCTTCCACTTCAGTTTTTATCAGTCATCAGGAGCATGAATTTTATAAGCCTCAACCTCAGGTGGAGAAACCTTATAGCACTGTTTTGTTCTTCCAACTCTTAAAACTGTAGTAAAATATAACAAAATGTACCATCCCAGTCATTTATAAGGGCACAGCTCAGTGGTGTTAAACACATTCATATTATCGGGCAACTATCACGACCATCCATCTCCAGAACATTTTTCATTTTGTAAAACTGAAACTCTACACCCATTAATAAGTCCGTTATCCTCCCAGCCCTTATAGCAATATTATTTTCTAATTTTTTTGTAGAGACAGGATTGCACTATGTTGCCCAGCTTGTCTCAAACTCCTGGCCTGAAGTAATCCTCCCACCTCAGCCTCCAAAGTGCTGGGATTACAGGCATGAGCCACCACACCTGACTGCATTATGTTTTAATGACAAACTTAATTTCCCTCTTCAGTTGCCATCGCACCTAATGGTAGAACACTTCATTTGCCAGTTCAGCTTGGATTCCACCACATCAGTGTGTTGTCAACCAATTCAGGCCTTTTGTCTCCCCACGTCTTTGAGGTGGCATCTATGCTTGAGACAAGTGAGGGTGAGGGCACACGGGCACCTGGCACTCAGGGGGGAGGACCCAGGCAGAGTGTCTCACACCTGATTTTAACCATCAGGCAGATTCCAGCTTTGCTGCTGGCATCCACATCTCTGTTTCCAGTTCCAGATTTGGTGTCCTCTGAGTTTCAATGGCCAGACCCATGAGGCAGCTTTTTTTTTTTTTTTTTTTTTTTTGAGGAGTCTCACTCTGTCACCCAGGCTGGAGTGCCGTGGTGCTATCTCGGCTCACTGCAACCTCCACCTCTGGGATCCAATTGATTCTCCTGCCTCAGCCTTCCATGTAGCTGGGATTACAGGCATGTGCCACCATGCCTAACTAATCTTTGTATTTTTGGTAGAGACAGGGGTTTCACCATGTTGGCCGGGTTGGTCTCAAACTCCTGACCTCAAGTAATCTGCTTGTCTCAGCATCCCAAAGTGCTGGGATTACAGGCATGAGCCACTGCACCAGGCCTGGCTTTTCTTTTCCCCTGGGAGTTTATTCTCATTAAGGTTACACATGCCATGAATGAGGAGGGAGAGGATGAGATCTCAAAATGCCTCTCCACTGGTGTATTAATATACTTGAACCCCCATAACAAATACCACCGACAGGGTGGCTTTTGAACCCTGAATAGCTGAGACAAGTCTCAGTTAATTTAGAAAGTTTATTTTGCCAAGGTTGAGGGCACCATGACAGAGCCTCAGGAGAGATCCTGATGACATGTGCCCAAGGTGGTTGGGGAACAGCTTGGTTTTATACATTTTAGGGAGACATGAGACACCATTCAAGATGTACATTGGTTCTGTCCAAAAGGTGGGGCAACTCAAGAAGGGAGGGGGCTTCCAGGTCACGGGTAGGTGAGAGACAAACAGTTGCATTTTTCTGAGTTTCTGATTAGCCTCTCCAAAAGAGACAATCAGATATGCATTTGTCTCAGTGAGCAGAGGGGTGACTTTGAACAGAATGGGAGGCAGGTTTACTCTAAGTAGTTTTCAGCTTGACTTTTCACTTTAGCTTAGTGATTTTGGGACCCCAAGATTTATTTTCCTTTCATAGCTTAAACAACAGAAATTAATTTTCTCACAATTCTGGAGGCTGGAAGTCCAAGATCAAGTTGTCAGCAGGGTTGGTTTCTTCTGAGGCCTCTCTCCTTGGCTTATAGATGACTGGCTGTTCTCTACATCTTCACATTATCTTCCCTCTGTACATGTCTGTACATGTACAATCTCTTTTCACCCTAATGACCTAAGCTTAGCTTAATCACCTCTTTGAAGGCCCTATCTCCAAAGACAGTTACATTCTAAAGTATTAGGATTAGGGCCAGGTACGGTGGCTCATACCTGTAGTCCCAGGATTTTGGGGGGCCAAGGCGGGAGGATCACTTGAGGTTAGGGGTTCAAGACCAGCCTGGCAACATAGTGAAACCCTGTCTCTACTAAAAATATAAAAATTAGCCAGGTGTGGTAGTGCACACCTGTAATCCCAGCTACTTGAGAGGCTGAGGCAGGAGAATTGCTTGAACCTGGGAGGGGAAGCCTGCAGTGAGCAGAGATCATGTCACCACACTCCAGCCTGGGCAACAGAGCAAGTTTCTGTCTAAAAAAAAACCTAAAAGTTAAAGATAAAGTGTTAGGATTAGGACTTTCAGATATGAATTTGGGGTGGGGATACCATTTAGCCCATAACATCTGGGTGCCAACCACTCTCCCCCACTGACAGCAGACTCTTAAAAACTGAAAAGTCCAGAAATCAGAATGCATGAGCTCATTGATCCTACTAAGCACCTCTACCTGCCAGGTGTTTGAATGAAAAGTGGAAGGTAGAAAGACACTGAGATGCTGAGATGAGCCAATCCTGTTTGCACAGCCCTTCCCATGGCTCCTGTTCTTTCTCTCCATAACCTACTGCATCAGGCTTTGGGAGGGAAGAAGAGGGTAGGGGAAGAAGAAACAGGAAGAGGAAACAAAAGGAAGAAAAACTTTTTCTTCATGAAGCTTCCAGAATGTTAGACTCCTCTTCCATTTTTGCCTGTTCCTTCTTTGTTTCTTTTGCTGGTTCCTCCTTTTAACCCCGACTTTTAATTTTAATTTTAATTTTTATTTTTTGAGATTAAGTCTCGCTGTTGTTGCCCAGGCTGGAGTGCAATGGTGTGATCTCGACTCACTGCAACCTCTGCCTCCCAGGTTCAACCGATTCTCCTGCCTCAGCTTCCTGAGTAGCTGGGATTACAGGCACCTGCCACCACGCCCAGCTAATTTTTGTATGTTTAGTACAGACGAGGTTTCACCATGTTGGTCAGGCTAGTCTTGAATTTCTGACCTCAGGCAGTCCACCCGCCTCAGCCTCCCAAAGTGCTGGGATTACAGGTTAGCTCCCTCTCAAGATTGAAGCACCCCAGGGCTCAGTTTAGGGTCTCTTCTTATCTACTCATTCCTTTGGGCATTTCATCTAACATTAGGGCTTTCGATTCCAACTCACATATGCTAACGAACCTCATGTTTATGTCTCCAGCCTAGTGATTACTCCTCAACTCCAGATTCACACATCACCTGCCCCCTTGGCATCTCCATTTAGATGTCTGTTAGGCATGTCAAACTAGCACATATTGAACATCTGACCTTCTCCTCTTTCCTCATCAGACACATCAAATCTGCTGGTTTTATTACTATTTTTTAATTTTTTTTTTTGAGACAGTCTCACTCTATTACCCAGGCTGGAGGGCAGTGGCAAATTATAGCTCTCTGTATCCTCAAACTCCTGGGCTCAAGCAAGAAGCAGCTTGAGCCTCCCAAGTAGGTGGGACCGCAGGTTTAAGCCACTATGCTTGGCTTTTTTTTTTTTTTTTGTAGAGACAGGGTCTCCCTATGTTGACGAGGCTGGTTTCAAACTCCTGGCCTTAAGCAATCCTCCTGCCTCAGCCCCCACAAGCATGAACCATTGCACCCAGGTAAATCTGCTCTTCTTGTGGCTGAGGAAACTCCATCCCTCTAGTTGCTCGGGCCAAAAATCTTGGAGTTATCCTTTACCCACCTCTCTCTCATACCCCACATCCAATCCATCAGCAGCTTTTGTAGGTTTCATCTTCAAACACATAGATCCAGAATCTGCCCATATTTCTCATCACCCCAATTGTAACCGGTCTAAATGACCATCGTCTTGTTCCTGGATTACTACAATAGCAGCTGACCTGCTTCTGTTCCCCCGACCAATGCAGCCTACTCTCAATGCTGTAGCCAGAACAATCCCATTGAGACACAAACCAGATCACGCCTCTTTTTCTGAAAACCTCCATGGCTTCCCATCTCATTCAAAGTCAAAGTCAGAGTTCTTACAAAACCCCACATCATCTCCCTCCTTCCTCCACCACTGTGCCTTCATCCGACAAAACTCCCTGATCCACTCTACTCAAGCTTCCTTGCTCTCCTTGAATGCACCAGGCACACTTCCACCTTTGAATCTTTGCACTAGCTCTTCCCTCTGTCCCAAATGTCCACACACCTAACTTCATCACTGGCTTCAAGTCTTTGTTCAAATGCCACCTTCCTCAAGAGGCCCTACAGACCTGGAGTCAAAGGAGATCATTTTCGAGCTTTAAAATTTGACTACCCCGCTGGATTTCAGACTTGCATGGGCCCTGTAACCCCTTTGTTTTGGCCAGTTTCTCTTATTTGGAATGGCTGTATTTACCAAATACCTGTACCCTCCTGTATCCAGGAAGTAACTAGCTTGCTTTTGATTTTACAGGCTCATAGGTGGACTTGCCTTGTCTCAGATGACACTTTGGACTA